AGGTCGAACACTTGAACGTCAAATTAAATTTATCGTACACAAGAATTCCAAACTTAATTGCTGCTTTACTGACAGTGGGTGGAAAAAACTGTTTTTAGATTGATCGACCTCATAACATACTCGTATGGTATTGTTAATACGACAAAAAAACTCTTAGTTGAAAGACTGGTTCTATGAATGTATCTAAATTACTCTCACGGCAAGATGTTGTATATACCTTTTTGTTATAATCAAATATTTATTATTAGGTAATTAAATCTTCTCATGAATTGTCATTTAACAGTCATCATTTATTATGTCAAAAATTTAATTATAATAATTTAAAATTAAATGCGCAAGTGTATCCCAACCCTTATATGCTTATGGTTTGATGAATGTTCCCCGTAGGGAACATCCCCCATCCATCATTAATTATATTAGCAATCCATTTTCATTCATCGATCGAGACACCCCCAACCCTTACTACGTTTGCAAAAATTTATATTTGACTACGAAGTAAGTATGTTGCTTCCTTATGTCTCTTTTAAATGCATAGTTTTTTTGATGGATGTTTGTTAGAGTTAGTAGTCTAAACGACCGAACTGATCTTAATGAAATTTGGTATAGATGTAGATGATAGTATGGAATAACGCAGGCTATTTTTTTTAATAATACGCGGAGGTAGTTCCCGAGCGAAAGCTAGTACTTAAATAAAAAAACACGATGCATTTCCTCTACAATTAGCGTTTAACATTGTTAACATAGTAGCAATTCTAATTTAAAAGATGTTCTTTTAATTGTAAATTCCCACGTAACTACCTGAGTAGTGGTCGTCATAGTTGACATGACTAATTAGCGAACCTTGAATGTTCACAATATTATTAAGCTAAAGCACATTTTCCTGTCTTACTTTTTCTACACAACTCTTATAACTTGAAAATACACTTATCATGAATGAGTTTTTGCATTTTGATACAACCTTGAAAAAACCCCGAAAAACTAAATAAAGCTGTGGTCTAGGACTCACGAAGATTTCTATGTTATCACAATTTGTAAAATGTGGCTAAAAATTACTTATTTGGGATATTACTGTTTCGTTTTAGAATTTGTTAACAGATGGCGTTAGAAGTACAAAAAAATTGTAATGAAATATTTTCTACTATTGTGATAGATTTATAAACTACTCTGCTATTACCCAAATCTAAAAGCGTTACAGTTTTTTAATTAAGTAGGGCTTTTGTCGTCCCAAAAATATGGAATATAGTCGTTTTACTCTGACGCCCTCAGAACTTCCTTCCAAAGTATTAGTTTTGGAACGCATATGCTAAAAATGAGTAATACAAGATTTTTTTATTTAATTTAACAATAATATCTGACTACATATGATGGGAATTGACAGCAATCGTGCAACTCATCTTAACGCGACTTACAAGTTTGTTTTTGTAACGCAAACGTCCATAACAATACGCAGAATAAAAACACTTGAAACGCAACAGTCGGTTTGTATTTTTTATGGCAGAAAAACAGGAAACAATGTCGGCGGGATAGTAAATGTACATTCTTGAGTCGCCCACGAATGGAATCATTCACTCATTCTGTTCAATTTAGACGTAATAACAATTGCAACTGCGAGGTTATACAAGACATTTCTCGAGATATGGAAATATGGTTTATTTATATTTTTTGTTATTAATAGAGAGGGAAAATTGAATTCTTCTTCCCTTCTTGAATTCTTCTATCAATCATAACAAATGTTTTTTGCTTGTAATTTAAAATTGTACATCAAATATACGATAATTAGTATTTGAAGAAAATAAGTATTTGACAAAGTACCATCATTTAAAAATTGCATATTTAATCTAAGAGTGTGTAGTCTAAGAGGCTACAATATATATATATGTGTACAAGTAGCCTATGTGTTCTTTCAGACTATCCTCTATGTCTATGCCAAATTTCATCGAAATCCATTCAGCTGTTAAGGCTACAAACTCTAACACTCATCCATCCATCTAAACTTTCGCATTTATATTATTAGTATGATAATTAAATAAAAATAACGATATGTTGTCATTAAGTAACACTCTCTAATTACTTAAGTACAACATTATTGCAGTTGGAATGTTTGCACCTGTACAAAACTATAAAATAGTGCGACTAGTGTTGTACTAACCACATTCCAACTTTATTATCGAATAATCAATACAGAAAAGTAATTATTTAAATAAACTCTTTATCTTCTTTCTTTAATTGCCTGTGATTACCAGTATTTGGTATTTAGAAATTTAAGTTGTATAATGTTGTTCGAAGGAAAAATAAGTAAACATCTAATGGACGAATAAGGTAATATTTAAAGTTATATTTCAAGTTAGGATGAATGTAGGGATATAATTTGGTAAAGCATCGTCCACAATTACGCTTTCAAATGTAGTCAGTCAGTCATTGGTGTCAGTGCAATGTGACAAAACATCGATCAATCGGACCCTACAGGGACGTCACTACAGCACTAAGCTTGGTGGAGGGCTCGACCCTTTACAAACACGTCTAGCCTTGTATTGACTTTACAATCGATCTCACGGCACCACACAAGCAACGCACGCCAACGACCGACGCCCGTGTGAACCTGCACTGATTGACCTCTCATAACTTAAGGTTATGCGACTTTTGTTTTAACTGCCAATTAAAAGTAAAAACGGTCAAGTGCAAGTCGTTTAATTGGTCGAGGTTTATGTAATTGGAATGTCACTCTTTTGTTGTTTTTTTTCATTTTGCACTGTGAATTTTTACACCGAATTCTTCAGTCTTTCATCGATAACAATTGTACGTTTCTACAAAGAATGTTTAGAATGGAAATCTTTAATTGTAATGTAGCCAAAAGGACAAATTAAAATATTCCTTAAGAACATCTAATCTACTGAGCTTTGCAATTACTGTTACGAAGTAACGTTCTAGGCTAGTCAGAACATCGGTTAAAACTTTACATAGCAACAAAAATATAGTAACAATGATGCTAGGAAAGTATAGAGGGTGTGGCGACGGATAGTGAGGCTCACTGAGGTGCGGAATATTGATCTAACAGCTCCGACACCCTCCAAATACCGGCCCGACGTGAGTGTCTGCAAACAATTGAATACTAACACTGAACGCTACCAAATATGAGATATTTTCACCTTTAACAGTTGATTTAAACAAATGATAGTAGTTAAAATAGTTATTTAAATATAAAAATTAACTATTCTACTTATTCTGTTTCATCCAAGCCATTGAATTCGTATTTACTGATGTGTTTTTGTCGACTCGTTTTTCTCGCGAGGAGAACAGAAAAATATAATAATCTAATAAGCGTAAAGTAATATGCTAATATTCATAAATTATTTTAAATTTGTTAATATAATTTTAGTAGTGAGAATTGTTGTATAAAAAGCAAAAACATTTTGCAACGCTAAATAAGATAAAAATAAAATTTTAACTCGTAAAAAACGTCTTTACTACGAAATAGCTTTTGCTGTAATGCTACTGTATAAAATACAAATTCGATGGTACGTATAAAAAGCAATAATGCAATTATTTCGTTAAAAAGATACCGCTAGTCGATCGGAACGCTTACGGCCTCTAAACAGACGTCGGGCGCCAAACATAAAGTGGAGCGTGAAGAGCATCGCTAACAGAAACGTAAAGCGAACTGTGAAATTCATGACCCAAAAACATACGAGCACCTACAACTCCTTTGTTAACCGGCCAGTTGCTAGGGACCCATTTTAAAACAAACAATTACTCTAAACTAGAGATTCTCAAACTGTAAAGCTGACAATGTTAATGATCTAAATCAGAAATGACTAATGATTAAAATGCCGCATGAACCGATTCTCACAAACTTTTCTCGTAGACGTCTTTCCAAAAGTTACTGATATCAGTGAACACAGTTCTTTTATATTTCTTCTTCAACCAGTGAACCTTCAACTTTCTTTCCGTAGACACCTCTGCTAGGTTTTCTACAGATCTTGAGGGGAATCTTCATCACTTTGAGAATCACTGATCTGTTCGGAAACGGAAGCTATCGCCCTCATTGTTTGTCAATAACCAAACAGCATTAATAACAAGGATATTGTATAAACTGTACTCTTTATTAAGTTAATATATTTATTAAAGATTGATAATCACACTAAACTCTAGTTGAACTTAAAAGTCTAGTTTGTTTTTATACAAGTGGCTTAATTACTTAACCACGAAGTTCTGCTGTCAAAGATGCCTGAACAGAAAATATGTGATACATTTTTTTTGTTTTGCTTTTAAAAAGTACGAGGTAATTTGCTTTGTTTAGATTATCTCGGCAGTGGTATCTGGAGGTACCTAACACTTACCCAACCTATCTAAGTTATATCAAAGATAACAGAAAAGGAGAGGGCGTAATACTGCCGGAGCAATAGTAGTTCAACAAACAACCCTTCTTTCTAAAGGAATAAATGAAAAGGGAACAAGCAGCATCCCTTTATGTACATACGTTGTCTAATTAAGGCAGTTACTTCACATAAACGCAAATAAAGGGCGATCGTATGTCTACAGTATACTTCAAAGATGTTACTATATTTATTTTATCTATTTATATTTTGTTCTACGAAACTTTTTAATTATTTTAAAGCTTATAATCACATCCCCTTAAAATTCGATTTGCTAACAAACAGCATCATCTCTCCCACCTTATCCTACTCCCGTAGGGTCGGTTCACCGGGTTTCGTCCTCCAAATAACTCTGTCATCCGTCATCTCAGTCATCACTCCCTTCTTGATCATGCCACCTTTCACGCAATCCATCCATATCTTTCTAGGTCTACCTCTACAAACGAAATGATTATATTAATTTACGAGTAATCATGCGTGTTAGCATTACATTAGCAACAGTATCTTATAAAGTTGTATCGGAGACGTAAACAACGTCGGTCACGCAACGCTATTCCTGGAACGTTGCATCGATAAAATTAACTAAGGCTATTTGAGTTGCAACTTAACAGTACATTTTCCTTGCAGATGGATGGCACCAGTAAGTCTGGCTATACACGCGCCGGGTGCTGACTTGGCGCCTACCGTGGACAGCATCAGATATCTCCGTGATTGCCTCAACAACGATCTCATCAGACAATACGTCACTTTCCATGTCTTCTTCTCTAACAAGCATATACCTAGTAAGGTAAGTCATACGTATAAAGTCTTCTAGCGTAATATACTTCTAGTCTTCATCGGGGTTGAACTCGATCTAATAAGATTTTAGAAGCATAAAATCACACAGACTATCGGAAATTTACGCCTTTCCACGATATAATAGGAAAAGATTTATTTAAATCAAATCTTTTGCTTACATTCTTATGCATTTTGTTTATATTTGTCTCCAATTTGTTTTCTATTGTTACAGATTCCAGACCCAGAAACCTTTCTCTTGACACCGTTTAATTGTACAAGTCGACCTCCGTACAATGTGAACGCGTCATCAACGTATATGAAGTCCAAGAGTTTACTGTACCCAGTAAATGTGGCTAGGAACGTCGCTCGGGATTCCGCTTTAACTCACTTTATACTACCATCAGATATAGAGTTGTATCCAAGCCCGAATCTCATACCTCGCTTCTTGAATATGATCGCTAGAAACGCGAAGCCGTTAAACTCCACCAAGCCGAGAGTATTCCCGATAAGTATCTTCGAAGTAGACGCTAAAGTACAAGTAAGTGACATTTCTTAATTTATTATTAACCTGATAATTACGCCTTATTACCATTATCCTGCATTAAATAATGAACCCTTAACCACCGAACATAATGAAATACAAATGTCATAATATTATACTACAAGTATTTCTCCAGTCTTTGTTTTACATCTGTGGCAAATTTTAATAAAACATATTGAACCGTTGCAGACTAAACATGATAAAGTAAAATTAATGTATCTCACGGGAACCGTAACTATTCGGGATCAAAAATAGCCTATATTTTAGACTATCATCTACATACATATATGCCAAATTGTATCGATATCCGTTCATCAGTTACAAACCATCATCTATCTATCTAAACTTTTGCATTTATAATATTAGTAAGATAGATGTATGTTAGTAATACTAGGATATGGTAAATCTTGACCAACCGAGACAGTGTCCTCGCAAGGTGAGCGGCTCGTACTTTTGCTGTTGCAATTACTTATAGGCAAAGTAATTAATTCACATCCGGTGATTAGCTTTACGTGTTTACTCGCTCTCCCATTACATTGCGTAGCTTTTATAATAAAGTAGACTTTACCCGGAACTTCGTCCGCGCCTAAATTCAAATCCGTTAAGTTTTGAAGATACATGAAACAACATCTATCCAAAATTTTGCATCCTTAGTAAGTGATAAGCGTGTAATGTTTAAGATTATTTGAATCTTATCAAAATAGAGTGTACATTTGTCGGTGCAGTTTCTATTACCAAAAAATATTCTAATTTCGCAACTACATGATAAATTTGTACAATCATCCTTTAAAAAATGTAGCTATTGCTTCATTCTATTTCATATTTAGTTGATTTTAACATGAAACTAATATTTCACAATAATTATCTTTACATCCGCTGTGACAAACGCAATATAAAACTAAACATTTTCATTATCAATTATTAGCACAGTTTAGTAGAACATTTTTGCTATATTAAAAACAAGGTTATTTGTGATATACCATCAAACACGTGTCTCTAAAACTACTCTGCCCAAATATCTTGATATTTGATTCGCAGTTTTGTATTTCTTCCTTTATATGTTCAAAATGTCACCTTAATTCCTACGGACAAGACATTTTAATGTGTAAGGTCACCTATACGATGTTTAAAAGTATTGTATGTTTAGCTTTCTATACTATTATAGCGTAAACACACACTTCTTTGTTGCCTAAGATGTCAGCAATTACAGCATATTTTTAAATAATTCTTTTTTTAATAAAAAGCCCTACACTTGCGTCACGCTTTAGGCTATATATTTTAACGCCATTAAACTTAGGGGGTAAATATTTTGGATAAAAACCCTAATATGAGAAAGAGACCATAAGTTTCTGCCAACATCAAATAAGCGAGGTTGTCTTCATATCATGTCATTTTGACATTTGTAATTGAGAATTTAACATATGTAAACAATAAAATAAATTTTTCATAATTTCATGCGGATAAAGCCGCTCGGGAACAGCTAGTTAGGTTATAATAACTTAAAGCAAAAAAAAATTAAACAACCTTGCTTTTATAACTAATGAAATAAATTTGCTCGCACACGCGTAATTCTCATTTTTGTAATGACCCAATATTCCCAAATGACCTAATAACCGAATATGTAATGTTATGAATTCGTCATAAGCTATTTTTACTTTAACTTGTACTTTACATAACTTACTAATATGTAAAACTAGCTTTCGCCCGCGACTCCGTCCGGTATTCTTCCAGTCTATTATTTACAACTATGCCAAATATCGTCGAGATCCGTTCAGCCGCCTAGGCTACAAACTCTAGCAAACCTCCATACATCCTAGATGAAGAATTTTTAAAAAATAACATGGCAAGTATTTTATTTGATGAAACTATGTAAATTTAATTATGTAATAAACCATAATTCAAAAACATCATTTTTAGTGATAGAATTTATAAGCACTAAAACATACAATATGTAAATCTTACTACAATATTAAAAAAAAATGGTTAACATAATAATGTTCTTAAGATATGTATTTCTTACATCGGTTGTATTAAAAAATGCTTTAGTTTAATATATACTGTG